CCATGCTGCCTGCTGCCTGCTGCTGTATTACGCTTTACGAAACGCTTTTTTTATTAAGCTTGGAACTCTTGTGTGTTAAAAGTCAATTTTCCAATTTGCAAACTGTCAGAAACATTCGAAAAGCAATTTGTGTACTTTCGTTCGCTCGTTCGGTCGGTCGGTCGGTCGGTCGATCACTTGCCCGCCTCTTTACACGCCGCTTACTTACCTACTCGATTGCCCCTCCTCAGTGTTCAGTGAGTGCGTTGGAAGAACGTAGAAGATTTTTTTTGTATTTCTTTTTTTTCAGAAAAACCTAACGATGTTGTATTGGCTTCTACTGTATTCACATACATATATATGTATATATCTATGTGTGTGTTTGTGTGGCTCTGCGTGCGCTTGTGCATATTTTCCTCCTTCCCACCTTGTTCTCCTCCATCACCTGCGTTCATTGTTAAGTTGCCTTTTAGGTTTTTGCTTGACTTTTTCTCGCCACATCGCAGCATGGCATCAGGCAGCAGAATCCGAGCAGCCAATATTGTTGGCTGGCCAAGTGTAACTAGTAAAGGTGAACAAGACGATTACAACAACAATAGTACACGCAATATAAAAGCTTATAACATCACCTCAGCTCCAATAAGCTACCACACCAACAACGTCAAAAAGGAATTTTAGCAAAAAATGGTTGGAAGTGGAAGGAGAAGAAGAAGCAGAAGAAGAAGAAGAAGAGACTAGTAATGCAAAAGCAAATTTTAACAAGTCTACTCACTAAAAATAGTCTGGCTACTCACCCTCCCTTCCTCATCTGAAGCACCAGTCTCGGCGCCTCTGGCTTTTAAGAAGTTTTCCAATAAAATTACAAACTTTGATATGTGTGTCGAGTGCGTAACGGTAAGGGGACTGAGGTTCAAATGGCATGCTGCTAAGATAACAGAGACCGAAACAACAACAACAACAGCAATAACAACAACAAATAAACAGCCCAACAAGCACAACGCAAATTGCTGGCTGCCGTCGAGCAAAGTTTATGAAAAAGATTAAAGTTGAAAAGTGGTTGACGTCGCCATTTGAGTTGCGTATAAATGAGCTCCGCTGTCTGCGTTATAGAGTGGGTGTGGAGCCGTACGCCATCTGTATTGACTGTAAATAAACTCTACGCCACACGAAGAAGCACTAGCAGAGGTAAATTAAGGTTAAAAACCAGCAGACTAGACTCTGCGTGCCGGCAGTAAAACGATTTGGTAGAAGAGAAGCGAAAGAGAGAGAGAGAGAGAGAGGGAGAGTATACCACAAATGAACACTGGCAGCTGAGCGCAACCCTAAAAATGCTAAATATTAATTGCCAAGAGAGCACTTGAGAGAGCTGCAACACATATATACAAAGCTCACAGCATCCCTTCGCCACTTAGCACAACCACTTTGCGTACGTGGGGCGTGTTGGGTGGCTGGGCGTATGGGCTGCCGCATTCTGAAGCTGTGGGTGGTTGATTGACATATGTATGTGTGTTGAGTGGGTGACCGGTGTGTGTGTGATTAAATGGTGGGCGTTATTTCACAAACACTCTCTCACACTTTTTAATGAAGTTTTATGTACATATGTAAATACGAGTCTGTATGCCCGTGTGTTTCTGGGTAGATTCAAGCTCCCCCTCTTTTGTGCACTCCTCACATATACATACACACATAAATACATTTATTATTTACTCGTACATATGTACGTATGTATGTTGGTAGGTATATGTTTTTGTGTTTATTTTCATTATGGCGCGCCATGAATGGAAATTACAAAATTGATTTTGATGATTTAATTAAAATGAAGAAGCACAAACGCAAATTATAACAGTCAAGCGTAGCTGACGTGCTGCGGCGAACTCAACCACCAGCATACGCAATTATGTACGGGCACGTATGTATGTATGTATATGCATATATGTTTGTGTGTAAATATTTTGTAAATAATTCGACAAAATCGTCAATATTCATTAGATTTACTACAAAAGAGCGCATGAAGTGTGGTTAATGTGCGCTTTTTGGGGTTACGAGAATAAATAATTTTAGAAAATCAATAAAAATTTTAACGGTTATTCGTTTATAAAGACACAAATTTTATTCGACATCGATTTAAAGTTCCCTCATCTTATCTTTTCAAAGAAAGTTAATGGATATGAATTCTCCTTCGTTATGAAGTCTGTCTAAGCTGAAGTGTCGTGCTGTGGCTTAACTGATTTACTGCACATAATTCTGGATATTTTGAATATTTTGGACCTGCAGGTTCTATTATCAAGGTCTCCTTATTTTTATCGTTTCTCTTGCTTTCCTCTTTCTTAATTTGCATGTCGGTTAATCAAGCGCAGACACCGATGAACAACTTGTAGGGTTAGCTCCTGTCTTGAAACCTTATGTAAGTCAAGGCATCTTCTCATGCTCACGCATCTTGCTTCTATCTTCAAATTTCGGTATCTTCAATTTTTGTGGTGGGAAGTGTTTTTTTTCTGAGGCAGCACTTAGGATTACTTTTGACTTTTTGGGAAAATCTCGATAACGTTACTATAAGATGAAGCTTAAACTGGTGAGTAGAGCATGCGCACCAACGTTCATCCAATCTTTTCACATACGTTCAACGGTTTACACAGCTCTAACAGCGATTGTTAAGTGGCATAATTATAATATCTCTAGAGACAAAGCTGCTTCACGGACCAAACCCTTACCTCAGAGCCATTCTGAACTTATAATTATTTAATTTTTGCAGATTTAGGATATGGTCCTGCATTTAGACTTGACTAAGTTATACCTACAGGTTGTTTTACTCCGTTTTCCTTTATAGTACCAGATGGAAGTCAATTTTAGATTAAGGTGAAGCTTTGACGAAGAAAGTTTCGAAACGGCAAAGAAGAATATGTTGCAGTTGCAGTTGCTCCATGGCATTCAACTCGCTCTCTCTCTCTCTCTCTCTCTCTCTCCTTAAGAACAGAATTTTCACGTAAATGTTAATAATTTCAGTATTGTTACTAGAAATATTTATTAGCCTGGCGACTTTAGTTACCGCTCAAATGCCTGACTAGAAAATATTAGTATGATCTGGCAGCCTAAATTGTTGCATGAGGCCCTGCTCCACGCAATACATTTCAGCACCTGCTTTTTCAACCATCTTTGATCCGTCCGCAGACACGTTGGCTCGGTTCCGCACCATTCTCACTTTTCTAGAGTAGCCTACATCTATCTATCCATTCATTTCTTTCTTTGCTTGTCGAGAATCTCACGAAGGTTAGTGTAAATAGTTCGCCAGAAGCAGCCGCACTTAGGAGCTTTACAGTGTTTACAGCGTTTCCATCAAGAATGTGGTACATGGGTGGGGTTGTTTCGACTCGCCAGTAAAGTAATGTTTCTTATTGCAATCGCCCCTCGGCAGGGACTTGACAGTCGTTCGGCCTTTGTTACAACTTCTGAGCTACTGAAGCTAGGTTTCCGAGCTTTCCCAGTATTACAAGTTCAGATACATAAATAAAAACTTTTAGTGGCTTCAGAAAAGCATTTCTTTTCTTCTAGTCTTGAATTGATATTTTTAATTTCTGGCTACGGACACGCATCACAGACGTTGCTTTCAGTACTCATTACTAAATCACGCCGTAACAACAAAACAAATTTTTTCTCATTAAGGACATTCGCTCAATAAGCAAAATTAAATTCTACTGATTATCTTTCTGTCAGCTTTTAGCCACAAATTCCTCTTCTTCCGCCACTCTCTCACCTCGCACAGAGATACACATTTAACCTCTACCACATACATAACGTCTGCTGCCGCCAGACGCGAGTTCATGCAATACATATATAGATAAAAATATATCTACTTATTTATCTAAGTACATTTGTATACAGCGACAGCATCAAAAATTAAATTTCCATCATTATAATTCCTATTAATTCGCGTAAATTGTATATAATTACTTTGTGCGCCAATCTACGGCCGTTAAACGATGAAGTGAGTGCCAACAGGCGCCGATGGGAGGCTGTTGTCTGCCAGGTTGGGTTTGTTTGGGGGACGAAAGCTGTCACTCACAGTCAAATTCCGTAAATTAAAGGCAACCACTGTCTCTCTTTCTCTCTCTCTCTCGCTCCCTCTCTCCCTCTCTCTATCGTTTCCACACTTTCTACTTAACTCACCTTACACTTTCCTGCTCACTTTCTCTTTGGCTTACAGCAGCCAGCCATTTATATTAACAAACCGCCAATTCGCTCTCTCATTAAGCAAGAGCGTGGTAATTAGTGGAATAATGTATTCAACTACATGCATACATAGATATGTGTATATGTATATAATCTGTGTGTCCGTAATAGTCGGTGCGTTTTCAATCATAAACTCATTCCGCTTTTTTGAAGCAATTTTTGCTAGACTCTCTTATCCAGTCGTCTCTGGTACTTTGTTGTTGGCTGCTTAAGTCGTTTTATAAATCTTGCACACTCATTGTTGCGATAATTCTAATTAGTGAAGAAGCACTAATTGAATTTTGTCTTCTGCTCTTTGCCCAAACACTGACGATTCCACACTCCTCATTCTCTCTCTCTCTCTCACACACTCACCCACTGTGCTGGCGTTAATTTAGTGCTGCCACATTTCTTCTTCTTGTTCTTCTTCTCCTCTTGCTACATTATTAATTTCCACATTTTTTTCTTGCTAATGAGTGGGGCCGCCATTTTGTTTTCGCTGCTGTGCTCCAAGCCTGTTGTTACTGTTGCAATTAAGCTCGTTGAAGTGTAATTAAGTGCGGGTGTTGCTTTGGCATGTGTGAGTGACAGCTCACTCTAGCTCAATGCTCAATTAACAGTGTCCAAGATATAACATAAAGTGATTTTTCACAATTTTTTGTTCGGAGATTTATGTATTGTCCTAACTGAGATCAAATACTAATGTCAGCCACTTGTTTTGGCGATCCAACTCATTCCAAATCAAAGATTTAAAATTATTTTAAACATTTTCCTCCGTCAAGCTCTAACTCATCTATATCGCTTTATCTTTTCAGGTCTGGTTCCAGAATCGTCGCGCCAAATGGCGTCGCCAGGAGAAATCAGAAAGCCTCCGCCTCGGTCTCACACACTTCACACAACTACCGCACCGCTTGGGTTGTGGCGCTGGCGGCCTATCAGTCGATCCTTGGCTATCACCGCCACTACTCTCCGCACTGCCAGGTAACTATCAACCCATTTGACGTCCACACATACATATTTACCTGTACCGCAATTTGTATTTCACTATTTTTTATTCACATTCAAGTTTTTCTCTATTCACATCCACCTTCGTCCTTCGGCAGGTTTCCTTTCACACCCGCAGACCGTCTATCCCAGCTATTTGACGCCCCCACTTAGTTTGGCACCATCTAGCTTGGCAATGAGCAGTCTGGCCGCCATGGGTCATGGACCGCACGGACCCGTCATGCATCCAGCACATCCACCGCCACCACCCTCAAGTCTAGCTGGCGTACCACCACCACCACCGCCGCCACAACTAGCACAAACACAATCGGTACTGGGCGCTGGTCATCATGTACAATTGTCACATTTATCACCACATCTGTCACGCATGTCACCACAAAGTTTGGCCACAATGCCACCACAGCTGAGTTCATCCAACGCGACGCCATCATCATCATCGTCCGCCGTCGTTACTGCATCTATGTCATCGGCTGCTGCAATAGCGAATGCACTGGCGCCAACGTCCATGCCAACGAATGCAGCGGGTATGCGTACGGCACTTTCGCCACTGGTAACGGTTATGTCTGGTGGACTGCCACCACCACCGCTCACAACCTTGCCTGCTGCCGCATCTGTCGGAGCGCACAACTCACCGCCAACACCACCAACACGCGCCACACAACCAACAAATTTGGAACAGTCACCGCAAAATCTCACCACAACTAACGATGCCAGCAGCGAAGCAATGCACATCGCTGGCGGTGACGGTGTCAGTGTCGGTGTCGGTGGCGCGGGTGGTGGTAATAATAAATGTAATGCGAGCGGCATGGAACTACTCGATGTGGGTCGCGATAGCCCACCGCCAAGTCATGCGCTGAGCAATAATAACTCATCGACCAATCCCATTAGTCGGCAATCGCCGATTTCGGCAAATCAACCGCAGACAGCGGATATACGCTCCAATTCCATAGCGACGCTGCGCATCAAAGCCAAGGAGCATTTGGAAAGCATAAATAAAGGTCTGGCCATGGTCTAAATGCAACCCGACTGCGCCACCTCCAATAGCCAGTCACCAGAGTACCAGGTCTTTTAGCAGCCACAAGCGGTGGCAAGCAGTGGAAGCAGCAGCTCTCTCACAAGCACACGCACACACACACACACACACACACACAGCGAGATAATGTTTCCAACAAATGTATTTATAACTGATTTGATGGATTGGAGCGTTTAGTGATTTTAATTAGTAAATAATTGTCGGATTTTAATAGGAATCAAATGTAAGCTAAACTCTAATGTAAACACAAATAAAGACTCTCATACACACATGCAAATAAAATGATAAATATATGTATGTATGTAATGTAAATGTGTATGTGAGTAGCCTTTAGATAAATTTTATGATTAGGACTCGTTCTATTAGTAGGCCTCTAAGCTATATTTTAGTAATGATTAATAAACATCTATTGTATGTATGTATAAATTCTAACGTACATATAAATTAGATATATATATATATATACATATTAATGCATATATGTACTATATGTAACATAAGTGCAGAATAGCAAAGTCATCAAATCAAAATACTCAATTACATCGCTTGATTACATCTTTAATTTGAGCTCCTTTGAGATAAATAAATTTACAAAAACACAAAAAAAAACAATAGAAAATAGAAAAATGGAGCTTCTCTCAACTAATGTAAATATCCAGCTGCTATAAGGAAAAATCTATGCTTTTATTTTACAAAAACATTTCGAAAATTAGCAATAAATGTACGTAGTTACCGCCTAAGCACACTCTACTCACTTACATACCTACATATGTATAGCTAAAATTAGAGGATAAATAAATTCTTGAATAATATAAAACTCTCTTTTGAACTCATTTTGATTAATAATAGCAGCAACAAAGAAGTTCAAGTTTCCATGACTCCTTCAGGGCCCGAAAAAACCGTTGTTTCAGCAATTTTTTTGAAAGGGAACGTAATTATTGTGGTAAACGAGATTTTCAGACAATAATTTACTATATTTAGGCTTCAAACCCCAATTTTAGTGTCAAAAACTATTGGATTATTATTATTTTTTTTTTTGGAATGTTATGATGAGGTTTCGTGAGACGGTGCCGCTGATGAAGCTCGTGCGATGCATCTGCAACAGTCGAATCAATTTATTTTTTATTTTGTTTTTTTTTTATGCATATCTCTTCTATAGGAAAATTCCAATTTTTCTTTTTTGGAAAAAAATTTAAATAATACTTTCGTCCAAATTTTTTAGTTCAAATTGAAAATAATTTAGCACTGAGGCTAGATCACTTTAATTTTTTATTTCGCCTCGGACATAGATTCTTTTTACTATCACCAGCCGTTTTCTAGGACTTGTAAAAATGAAAAGTCAAGAAAACGCACGTCAAAGTTGTGCCTGCTCTAGCTTTAAAATATGTCGAATTAGCCACCGATATTTATGGAAAGTTTTAGAATAGAGAGCTGCTAATGAGGTACAAAAGAAAAAAGAGTGTTCCGCACTCGTTATCATTAGTGTGCAATAAACAAAAATTGAGCATACTTTACTTTTATCAAGCATAATAAAGCCCTGTAAGACAATCAAATTATTTGAGGATATTTTTCAACCTAACCTACTTTGGGCCGAACCCTGAAAGTACCATAAGGAAAAGCGGTATACCAAAATGTACACAAATATAATCAGAAAGGCGAGCTGAGTTGATTAAGTTATATCCGTCCGTTTAAAGCAAACAACTGTTCTTCAGTTCTTTCACTTTCTTCAAACTTGCCTACATTTAAACAATCAATTGTGAGAACTTTCCAGATTGGACCACTATATATAATTGGTGCTTAATTGAGGTTAGCTTAATTTATAATCAGCATAATCGGCTAACTAAGCGTACTATTCGCAACACAATCACCCATATTAAGACCCAGCATTCATTATTGAAGAAAATATAGCGGTCGTAGCTGAAAGTGTACTCGAAGATCGTGGAGGGTTGATTCGGTGCCGTTCGCAGTAACTCGTAGCATGGAACGACTTGGCGCATTTTACATCGAGATCTAAAATAAAAAGCAAACAAAATACAGCTCGTGCAAGAACTAAAGCCGTTTAACCTTCCGAGGCGACATCACTTCGCTCTATGGACTCTTGAAAAGTTCCAAGAAAATCCGATATTTTAAAACTACGGTTTGGTGTGGTTTGTGTACCGGTGTAATCATCGGTCCATATTTCTTCAAAAATGATGCCGCTGAAAATGCAACTGTGCATAGCGACCGTTATTGCGTAATGATAGCCGACTGTTTTCGAGCTGCAATTGAAGCTTGTGATCTCGACGACATTTTTTTCAACACGACATCGCCACTTCACATCGATCATTTCAATCAATGGATTTATTAAGAGAACACTTCGGTGAACAGATAATTTCACGTTTTGAGCCGGCCGATTAGCCACCATGTGATATCACACCGTTAGACTATGATACATATGGAGATATATAAAGTCTAAAGTCTTCGTTTCAGGCAATGGAGCAAAAAACTCCGCATGTCATTCGCCAGTTATCTGAGGCATAGCCGCGGCCAACATTCAAAAAAAAATAATCTTCAAAAAATAAATGCAAAAGAATGTTCTTTCGAATGATCAAAAACATTCCCCATTTTTTTCTTTTAAAAAGGGGGTACTTCCATCTCTTTAGTAGTGTAGAGTCGGAGGTAAATTTTGAGTTGCTAACACACACAGCGAGTTTAAAAAATCTAACTGTTTGATGCTAATTAAAAAATTTCTTATGAATTAGATATTCATAGCACTAAAATATCCATTTTTAAATTATGGAAAAATATCGCATATGTATTTAATTTTTATGCTAATCTTAGTTTTCGCCGCAAAAATGGTTGCCTCGAGGTGGTATTTTGAGTTTTAACAAGAGAAAAAAGTCAGCCGGACCCATTAGTAGTTATTTGAAAAGATTTATGCAATTTTCGACAAAAAATGCTTTCACAATGGTAACCTTGATAAACGGTGCGTTGTCTTGATGAAAAATTCTGTAATTTTCTTTCCACAAATGTAGCATTTATCGCCAAGTTTGCTCTCTCAAACTCGGAAGCCCTCACAGGAAATTCTTTGTTTAGCGACCGATCTTTTGATAGCATTTCCGAGTGTAGAGCTCCACCATATTAAAGGTACTCAATATTATTACCTTCACTTAATAGAATTTTTTTTTTTTTTTTTTTTTTCAAAACATGTTGACTTGTAACCGTATCTCATCGACAATTATGAGGCCTTTTGTGAATGTTGGTCAGACTGCTTCGCTTTCCTTCAGGGATCGATGTATATACAATATGTATATCTCAATGTATCGATTCTTCCATACAACCGTTAGCTGCACCTATAGTAAAAATAGTAAAACCAATGATGAAAAATTTAACAATTTTAGGAAATACATTTACCCTTCAAAGATCGATGTGGCACGCAGCGCCATCTTGTTGAAAATAGACGTTGTACAGATCAATACCATCACATTCCGGCCATAAAAAAATAATAATCATCTCTCAAAAGTGCAGTCCATTCACCGCTACTTCTGTTCCTGCCTCATTTTCAAAAAAAGTAAGGTCCGATGACCCCACCCGACCATGAACCGCAAAACCAAACAGTTACACGTTGAGAATGGAGAAGCTTTCCAAAAATAATTCTTGGCACTTCCAAACCCCAGATGTGAAAGTTTTGCTATTTATGTAGCCATCGAGGTGGAAATAGGCTTGATCAGTCAAATGATTTTGTCTGAAATACTTTCGATGAAATTTTTATAGGGAATTTTATTAATTTAAATGCGTTGTTGAGGCGTGTATCATACCATTTTCTACCGGAGTAGCAGGCTATTCTAAACAACACCTTTTATTTGAAAACCCTTCACTCTAGCTGAGTTCAATATTTTTCCTTTTTTCCAAAAACACTTGAGCCACAACATATTTAAAGTCCCTTTTACAACAAAATATTTAAATATATACACATTTTCGTTGCAAATCGATTCATACATTTTTCAAATACAGAAGTTTGCCCACAAAATGTATCGGTTCATAGCGTAAAACCAAAACCAATCAACTCAATTAAATTCTCGACAAATGAAAAAACAGCAAAATATGAAATAGAAAATCTACCCAACGAAATTGTGTTAGAAAATAAAAGCGGAAGTAAAACGAAATTGAAAATGGAAGTGGAAATGCATGCAGGAGACAGTGTGGTTATCTCACAATTCGCCAGCAAACTAACGAGATGCATGCAACCGTGTTTGTATGTATGTGCATGCCATGTATTGTACATACTTGTATGTGCCATGGTCACAAATTGATGGGATGTTCGTATAAATATATACAAGGTTTATCCATTTCGTGATTTCAAAATTAAACGACTGCCTATCAAACCAAACATGTTTTGTTTTAGTTAAAAGTCGGACATTTATGAAAATGAATCGCTTAACAACCGCACAAAGTGATTCAAACGTGGCCACGTTTTGTACTTCAAGAGGAAGTTATGATGCATATAAGCGTCCGACTCCTCAAGAAAATGGTAAAATTTTAAATAATTTTGACGAGACTGGATTGGTTACAGATATTCTATGGCCTGTGCATCATCGTTTTCCTCGTTCCACCTCAAATATCGCTACTGTAAATGAGAGTGTAGCCGAAGACCCAAATAAGTCTGTTTCCCGACGTTCTCAAGAACTAGGACTTTCTTTCGGTACAATGTGACGCATTTTGCACTTCACGCAACAGCTGAAGCCAGCTGACCATTCACAGCGCCGCACATTTGCAGATTAGTTTCTGGTGCGTTCTTCGGTTCGAAGGTGTGATTGGACGTTCCTTCTTTGAAAACGAAAACGACGAGACCGTTACTGTCACTCCGAAGCGTTATGATCGTATAATAACCGAATTTTTTTCTCCTACAATTAGAGACGAGGACGAGGAAAGTAAGTATCTTCAACAAGATGGTGCCACAGGCCACACAACACGAGCAAATATGGTTATATTGCGAGAGAAATGTCTGGACCGAGCAATCCCTCGTCTTGGCGATGTCAAGTGACCGATATCATGCAATTAGAGACCGCTTGACTTTTTTTGTGTAG